TTCATTTTTACTGAGTATAGGAAGATTGTTTATTAGTAGGAAGTTGTTAAAACAGGTAGTTTCTTCAGTGTGAGATGGTGTATTGGTAACTGAAGGGAAGGGTAGTTCTTCTGTAGAGTCGCTCGCCGTATACCCGGTTTTCACAGTTGTGCAAGAGTCCAAAGCCTGTCCTGTACGTTGGGTCTGGCCGTCATAAAATTGGTCTTCCACGTCAAAATTTATATTTAAAAACAATTTGATAGTATAATTATAATATTGGAAATAACTAGATAAGATATAATCTATTAACAAATAATATTAATATTAAAAAAATCTAGCTTAAGAACTAATAAAATAAAAAAAATAATCTAGCTAGTAAGTTATATAAAATTAGAAAATTACAGATCTAGAGAATATAAATTCTATATTATAAGACTAGAAACTCAGAATATCATATAATAGATTTAATAAAACTTGAACTATTTTATAAGTTTAGTAATATATAAAGATCTATAGTTTTCTATTAATTTTTGTAGAAAAATAACTCTAGCTTTAAAAAATATAACAGATCTTAAGGTATCTAAAAATTTTAGAATAGCAGAGAAAAATAAAAAAAAAAATTCAAACTAATTTATCTATAATCTAAATATTTAAAAACTACTTTATATATTTTTAGCTAATATATACAAATCTATACAAATATATATAAATATATATAATTAGTTATTATATAAAACTTAAAATTATGAAATATAGTCTTATCTTAGCTTTGCTAAAAAAAAAAAAAAATTAAAAAAAAAATAAAACTTAAAATTATACTAAATAAACTAGTTTTAGACTTATAAATAAAGTTATATAAAATATCAAAAAAAAAATATTTTTAAAAATTTAATAAAATTTTAATACTATTTAGTTAATTAAAACTAATTTTTCTATAAAAAATTTAATATTTTAATAAGCTATCTCTTATAACTAGTATTTATTTTTACTAAAAATAGTAGTTTATTTTTAAAAATATATAGTATGTAAATAGTAAACTTGTATAATAGAAATTCTAAGTAATAAAATAGTATATCTATAATAGTCTATAGTAAAATATAAAATTCTAAAAAAAAAAAATCTGTTTTAATATATAAATATTATAAATTACTATATAAATAACTTAGGTTTCTTTTATTTTACCAAAAAAATTAATTAGTAAAAAAAAATAATTAATAAAATATAAGAGTAAATCTGATATATTGAAGATTTTGTATGTAGCAGTTTACAGTAAATCTAATTTATATATTAGTAGTACTAACTAATCTGACTTAATAGCTAAAAATATCTAATTTATAAAATAAAATATAGCCAAAAGTAAAAATAGTATCAAAAAAAATTTATCAAATGTTCTCAAATAAAGAACATATTTTTAATAATAGTCTTTAAAAATTAATTAATATTTTCAGAAAACTGAATTTTTTTAAATACTGGTAGTAATTGAGGTTGGAATTAGCAAGAGTTAATAAGAACTGTATAAGGAAGAAACCAAGACTATTAAAGGAAGGATAACTTACCTATGGACACCAAACCTCTAACACGCCTCAATCGACCAAGCCACCCATAGGACCCCCAAGAGAATAGGTTATTCAATATTAAGGTTACAAGACGCCCGATTACAACATAATAGTGTCATAATTATTAATTAAATATGCCGATACCATTTCTCACTTTAAAAATAAGCATCACAGCTGATTTTGAAAATTGGCTGATACTAAAACTTAACTAATCAGATGCGGTCATTTTAGGCCGCCAAATCGCCATATTAATATGGGCATGCGAATTTAAGATCTACAAAAACATATTATTTGACATGATATTTGTTTTAAAAATGTGCATATTCGAATTCCGGTCATTTGCTAATATAACTGATATATCAAATTTATAAACTATAAAAATAAACATATTAATTTATTAATCAAAATCAAGAACGATACCTTTTGAATGACCGGAATTTGAATGTTTAGCTCTAGATTTTTGTCTAACATCAAGTGAGCTTAAATTCGGAATCGAAAGGTAAAAAAATATTTTCTAAAAGCATAAAATAATTCATTGTAAAATAATTCATGATTTTTTTATTGTTATTAACTAAATTCAAAATTGTGCCTTAAGCGCTAAAGCGGAGTTTGTATAATCGAATTAACTCCGCTTTAGCCGACCACCTTACCAAGAAAGTAAACTTTTTTGCGGAGATTTGTTTTTTGTTATTGTACATACGTAAGTATACACGCGGAATTTTCCATCATTTTTTTTTATCTATGAAATTAAAAATAGTATTTTTTTTCCCCACTTACAAGTATTTAATGATTTGTATTGTATTTTTTTTTATATAAAACCCACTATTTTTTTACCTTGAAATAAACAATAGTAAAATAAGACCTTTACTTTCACTTGTTATTGTATTTAGCAAAAATGAAAACTTTTTTTATTTTTTTTATCTTGATCGTAATTTTTATTGTTCATGCTTCTGAAGAAAAAAATGATAAGTCTACTTGTGAAAAAACTTTCAATGTAACCTATTGCAATGATTGTCAAAAATTAATCTTTCATGATCTTACACAAGAAGATAACGATTGCGCAACATCCTTTGTTCTTATTAAAGAAATCGCAAAAGAAGTTAAAGAACTTGATAAAGATATTGATATTTATAATCTTACTTATTTCAAGAAAGGGTTGAAGAATTATTGTGATCAACAATTCAATTGTGATTTACATACTGCCGAAAAATATTGGACTGAAATTGAACAAGTTTGTGTCAAAGAATTAAGTGATAAAATAGATTTGAATGGTGATCCCAAGAAGGTTGATAAAACTGTTCTTATGACTTATGGCACTTTATTTACTTATTACTTTGGAATTCCGGAACACAAGGCACTCTGTTATAAGTCTTCAGATTCTGATGGTAGCTAATTCTTTATTATAATTATATTGTATATAAAATATTAATATACAGTAGTTATGGAAATAACACTTTTTATTTTTAATAATTAAATAGAATTTTGCGTTGTCGATCTTTTAGAGAAACTCATGAATTATGTCAAGGAGGTGACTGATGCAGATCCAAAACCTACACTCTCTATGAATTTCAATTACATTATTAAGAAGGATGGTACTAAAGTACCAATTCCTAAGAAAATTTTTTGTGGTGAAAAATGTTTAGAATATATATCAAAAATGTATATATCATGGGTTAAAGAATATAAATTAAGTCCCGAAATAATTGAAAATCTTTATGGTTCTGAAGATGAGATGATAGATAATATGAGTTGTAAATATGAAGATAAACGAGGAATTATTAGACGAACTTCAGATTTGTATTTAACCCCTTTTCGTTCTTACTTTTTAAAATAAGTAATGCTTTATTGAACAATAACTTTTAGTATACTTTTTTTTTTTTTCATCATAATTATTTTTCATGAATATTAATTATCCTCTTATTATAAATATTTAATAAAGTTTAATTTAGTTGCTGTACGTAAATATATATACTATATACTATATCTTACAGTAAAAGGATCATTCATTAATTTCTTGAATAATTAGTGATCCTGCGGAATCCGCAATTACAATTAATTATCATCTGATCAACGTAGCTTGCTGCGTAAACATTAATAGCTAACGTTAAATTATTTAAAAACAATTAAACAACGTTATTGCATACGGGTTTAAAATTCGTTGCATAATTATGCACAGAAAATTGACGTATAAAAAAAATGCAGATTTCCGAAAACCTAAAATGTATTTGATCAGCGCAGTATTTGTACGTACTGTACGAGTTCATTGATTTTTTTATTATTAATTGAATAAATTTCGAATATCAAATCCGAATAGTATTCTATATACTCTTTAATTTTATTAATTAAACTTAAAATTTTGGAATATCAAAGTTTTCAAAGTTGTAATGTCTGCATTTGTACAGTAAACTTTTCGTTTTATCAAAATCCACGTTTTACAATTATGGTATTTAATAAAAGATAGGTATTAATATAAAATAATTTGATTGGTTGAAATAAATTTATCAATCGGAAATAAATACCCGATTCACTGATTGACATAAATGGCCTTAAAGTAAAACAAACGCATTTATGTGGTATTTTTTACGCGTCATAATTTTAATAACTTTTAATTGATAATCTTTTTTATTTATATTATAATTGCATATGGGTTGGTACAGAACATTAAATGGTTTCTTTATCTTTACTCTTAGTTATATACTAACCCATATTTATACATATAAAATAGCTAAAAACATATATATATATTGTCCTTATATTTTATTTATCTATATTCTATTTTATTTTATATTTACACTTAATATTTTATCTATTTTATCGTGTTCCGAAAATTGATGGAAGTCGAATTGATGGCTCACACGTTGTAATTGATATTTCATAAGGTGACATCCATTCATCATAATAATATTCATATTCATTTGCATTATATTCATTTGCATTATATTCATATGCATTATAATTCATATTTACATCATATTGGTTTATATCTTGAGTTATCATAGGGAGATTAACTGCATATTCAATCAGATTTTGCTGTTCGTAGTTTGCCATGTTTGTCGAATGTGTTAATTGTTGATAAATTAATTCATCAATGTTAAAATATTCATTAGGATAAATCGGGTTTTCGAAAGTTAATAATTCATCGTTTGAAATTAACTTTAAATTATTAT